TGCTGCTGCTGCTGCTGCTGTTTTTTACTGCTGTTTCTGCTACAGACACGTGACTCGCTTTTGCTTGCCATCAATGTCTTCATCAGTCCAGTCAGCATTCAACCCCATAGCCTAGTCAACAAAGAAGCCTCAATCCCACTAGACCTGCAACCCCTCATATATACCCAAGCACGATACCTTCGCCAGGAGCTGCTACCGGGGACCTATGGCATCACTTGGGTGCCTTAGTCCTCGAAGCTGTCGGCGATTTAGGAAGCTTGATTGTTGTGGGATACAGGGTTCTACTATAGGAGCTTCCAGAAGGGTTACTGCAAGGGGTCTTTGAGGGTTTAGACACTTCAGGGTTCGGACCGTAGGCTTCAGGCCTAGGGCTCTGAGACAGGCATCCGAGTTTGAATTTCAGGCGGGGCCGAAAAAAATTACCTGTACTACTTTTGGAGGTTCCTTGTTCTAAGTATAGTATAAAGGGGCCCAAAAAACTTATTCTAATTATCAAGGCCCCGCAATATCAGGGCTGTTGTGAGCTTCAGCTGTCCCGAACGAAGCCCTGAAGAAGATCGCGGGCTGCTTCCGTTCGGGCGTTTAACAGAGGGGCCTTAATAATTACCGAGACTGTTTCGTGGGTTCAGTATTATGAGTACAGTAGAATATACACCAAAACCCTATTCTAAAACCCTAAACCCCAAACCCTAAACCCCAAACCCTAAACCCTACAGTACACCCTAGACTCCAGGACTCCCAACTCCCTGAACCCTAATCTCCCTAAGCCTGATGAGCCTTAACCCCTCAACCCAAGACCCCCTGAGCCCCAAACCCCAAAATCCTGAAAAGCCTTCAAAGCTACATTTTCAGGGAACTACAAGGTAAACGGGTTACTATGAGGGCTGCTAGAATCAAGGAGCACTATTATGGGATAATGTAGAAGCCTAAATAATTACCATTCTTATTCCTCAGGGTTCCTTATTGTAACCATACTATAAAGGAGCCGAAAACCCAATTCTAATCATTGAGGCCCCCTCATCAGGGCATAGTATAAGTATCCCAGAGTCGCAACCCCTCGGAGGTGGAGGCCTTATTATAATTATTAACCCTTAGCCTAAACCCTAAACCCTAGACCGTAAACCCTAAACCCTTAAACTCTTAAACCCTCAAACCCTTAAACCCTTAAACCCTGAACCCCTAAACCCTAAACCCTAAACCCTAAACCCTAAACCGTTAGTTATACTCTACAGGAGCCTTAAGTCTTGGGTTCAGGGTTTAAGACTTTATAAGGCTTAAGGAGTTTAGGGTTTTGGGTTTAGGGGGGGTGGGGTCCAGGAGTCTAGGGTGCAATGTAGGGGCTTGCATAATCAAAATAGGGTTTTGGGGTAGATTCCACTGTAAACCCTAAACCCTAAACCCTGAATGCTGACCATGTGGGAGCTTCAGTGTACAAAGGGCCGCAAAATTCATGGACCTCGGCCCCAACGCCCCATTTAAAGCCCCCATATAGAGCCGTTGTCAAGACTGGCAGAAAACTTTTCACAACTTCAAAGGCCAAGCAGTGAAACCTTCTAAGCAGCATTCCAACCCAAAGGATCCGAAATACCTGTATGGTAGAATGTGGGGTTTCTATATCAGGAATTCTTAATGGTAGAATGCAGGGTTTCTATATCAGGAATTCTTAATGGTAGAATGTGGGGTTTCTATATAAGGGCTTCTTCTGATGATATGGGAAAGTAGCCCTGTGGGGTCTGAAACTGCAGGTGCTGCGCCCACGAGGTCGCTGCGAGCGGCCAGAATCCAAGAAGCCTTCAAAGCACGGGAGGAGGCAGGTGCCGCCGTAACAGGGGGTACTACAGCGAATCCCGGAAATTTGGAACGTGGGTTTAGGAGGATTTGTGCTCGGATCCTCTATGCTTTACCTTAAGGGAGTGGGGTTAATCATGTTCCATCTTTCTGGCTTCTACTAAGTAGAAGCCAGAAAGATGGAACATGATTTAGGGCGTTCCGAGTTTAAGGGTTGAGGAGCTCAAGGTCTGGTGGGGATTTTAAGGGTTTAGGACTGACTTTCGGGCTTTAGGGTTTAGGGTTTAGGGGTTTAGGGTTTAGGGGTTTTAGGCTTGAGCCCTTCTGTTGCACACTCCCTGGCCAGAATGCAGGGTGAAGGTTTCGGGCTTAGAGTTTGCCTGAACCCCAAAGTTTGCCTGAACCCCAACCTACCTTTCCGGACGTCCTAGGGGAGGGTTTCCGAATGTCTTCCTTGTTCTTGTTCTAAGAGTTCGGCTTCCTTGCCCCGCGCTGTGTTAGACTAGACTGCAATACGAGGATTTGCTACACTAGACTATGCTCTACTCGATTTGCTGTACTATACACTAAATGACTATATATATATATACACACACTACATATTATATACTGCATGCTATATACTTTATACGATATACTATATAGTAGATACTTTATACAGTATACTATACAGTATGCGCCATATACTGTATACTGTCTGGAGTACTTTACGAGGGGATATGTTGCTGTGCCATGCTATACCATCGTCTTTTCTACTCTACTCTACTCTACTCTACTCTACTCTACTCTACTCTACTCTACTCTACTCTACTCCTACTCTACTCTACTCGAGTCTGCTTTACTCTGCTCGACAGCGCTATACTACACTATTCCATACTCTACCCTGGTATTCGATTACACCTTTACACTTTAGTTTACTACCACCAAGACACACCAGCGCTGCCACAATGCTGGGATTCACGAGCAATGCTACTCTCCCTCGCCCCTCCCTCCAGTATGGGCGAGCACAGCCAACATGTTTTTGATTCAGGATTTATTTAGGGGTTTAAGATTTAGACTTATTTAGGGTTTAGGGTTTAAGATTTAGGATTTATTTAGGGTTTAGGGCTTAAGATTTAGGATGTATTTTGGATTTAGGCTTTAGGGTAAGCCTAAAGCCCGTAAGCTCTTGGGGATTCCTAGCGCAGCCGCGAGGCCTGAGTGGAATTTGTTGCGGACTGCGGCCATCCTCGCCGGAGACGGCTCTGGAGATCGCAGAGGTAGGTGGTCGGTTTTTTTTTGGGGGGGGTTTAGGGTTTAGGGTTTAGGGTGGGGGGGGGGGGGGGGGGGGGG